GGCTCGCTCGCGCCGGGTTCTGTCATCGAATATTTGCAGCTCGTCACGATCCCGCTTGCCTCCCCCCCGTGGGGAGGAGACATGTGAGGCCCCCTTGAAACTCTGATTCTGTCAAGCACAGCCACAGACATGAAGCCACACATGGATTCTTGGCTTCAGAGGACTGGCCCGCCTCGGAGCCCACATCTGTCCCTCGATCAAAGGTCCTGATGTCCCAGCTCTGGGCGTGAAGCGGGACTAGGTAAGTGAACCCTTGCGACCAGCGTGCAAATCCACGGGTGGCCTCAGCATCCTCGTGCTGAGGTATGAGGCCGCCCCTTGCTAGATGCTGAACACCGGCTCCCTGGCCACGTGTGCTGGGCTGGGCTGGACAGCCCTGCTGGGGAGACCAGAGGTCACGTCTCAGGGCGCTGCATCCTGGGAGAATCACCAGCAAGCACCGGAGAAGAGGCAGTGCCGACCCGGGGAGGTGGTGACAGTCTGTCAGAGCCGGGGCACATGGTTGTCCAGTGAGACGATGCTCACAGAAGCACTCACAAACTGGAGCCATAGATTTTATTTTTTTGTATTTGAGTCGGAGTCAGAGTTTGTTTTTTTTTGAGTTGGAGTCTCACGACCACCGCGGCCTTGACCTGCTGGGCTCCACAGTCCTTCTGTCTCAGTCTTCCAAGCAGCTGGAGCTACAGGCACACGCCACCACGCCTGGCTAATTTTTTGATTTATTGTACAGACAAGTTGCCCATGCTGGACTCGAACTCATAGGCTCAGGCATTCCTCTCACCTCGGCCATCCAAAGTGCTGGGATTATAGGCGTGAGCCACCGTGCCCGGCCTGAAAGCAGGATTTATTGAGAGGACAGAAAAACTCCCACAGTGGAAGGGGGACCCAACGGGGTTGCCCAGATTTTAAGTCACATGTATGCTTTTAAAAATTATGTTTTTGCCGGGCACAGTGGCTCATGCCTGTAATCCCAGCACTTTGAGAGGCGGAGGCAAGAGGTTTGCCTGAGTTCAGGGGTTTGACACCAGCCTGGGCAACTTGGCGAGACCTCATCTCCACAATACATCAAAAAAATTAGCTGGGCGTGGTGGCACATGCCTATGGTTCCAGCTACTCGAGAGGCTGAAAAGCAAGGATCACCTGGGCCCAGCAGGTCGAGGCTGCGGTGACTGTGAGCGTGCCGCTGCATTCCAGCCTGGGTGACTGAGACTGACTCAAAAAAATATATATCATGTTTTATCTAAAACAATTCTACTACATAGTTTATCAAGTTGTAGGATGAGGCTGGACTCAGTGGCTCAACCTGTCATCGCAGCACTTTGGGAGGCTGAGGCCAGTGGATTGCCTGAGCCCGCGGGTTCGAGACCAGCCTGGGCAACTTGGCGAGCTCTCGTTTCTACAATAAATTAAAAAATAGCCGGGCGTGGTAGCGCACGCCTGTAGTTCCGGCTACTCGGAAGGCTGAGGCGGAAGGATCACTGGAGCCCAGAAGGTCCACACTGGGGTGGCCGTGAGCGTGCATGCCCCTGCACTCCAGCCTGAAGGAGTGAGACTCCATCTCAAAAAAAAAAAACAAAAAAAAGTTGTAGGATGAGGAGAACCCAAACTGATGGGTAGCTCGTGAAGGGATCAGACAGCCCCAAATGCAGAAGGAGCCAAGAAACTGAAGAACAAAGCAGCTCATGAGAATGGGCTGATCTATCAGGAACGTACAGATGCGTGGACTTGGGCAGCTGCAAGACAAGTAAACCTCTACGCTGTTACTCCTTGGACCCAGGGCTTCCACACCACAGGGCAAGGGGACCTGTGCTCCAGCAAGACAGTAAAGGAACACACAGCACTCTTGCCTGTTCTGGAGGCAAGAGTGTGCTGTGTGTCACACCTTTAACTTGTGTGATGACACCAAGGTGGCTTTGTTCTTACACTAGGGACAGTAAATAAAGTAGAAGCGAGGAGGAAGGCCAGGCATGGTGGCTCACGCCTGTAATCCCAGCCCTTTGGGAGACCGAGGCGAGAGGATTGCCCGAGCCCTGGGATTTGAAGCCAGTCTGGGCAACTTGGCGAGACCTTGTCTCTACAATATATCGAGAAAAATTAGCCGGGCCTGGTGACACATGGCTGTAGTTCCAGCTACTTGGAAGGCCGGGGCAGAAGGATCGCCTGAGCCCAGCAGGTCGAGGCTACAGTGGCCGTGAGCAAGCGTGCCACCGCACTCCAGCCTGGGTGGCAGAGTGAGACTCTGACTCAAAAAAAAAAAAAAAAAAGAA